AAATAGCTGTCGGGGCATTCAGGCCGCCAAGACGATTCAGTGGGCTTGCACCATTGACGGTGGACACAAAACAGAGGGTGGCTCAGGTTTAACTTCTCAAGCAACACAGATGGGCAACACACCTTTCATTCTTATGAACTGATGGTTCTCAAACTTCCGGGTCTTAGGACCAAAATTTAAATTATGTAAATGGCAACCTTTCAAAATTATTGAAGACACCAGAGTTGACGGTTTCAGAAAGTCTGTTTTTGTGGGTGATGGCTGCCAATATTTATGCGTAAAATGGAAATATATACATTTTAAAAATTAATTTAAAAATAAGCCCATTGTGTGTTAACATATAGAGTGATTTTTTTCAAGAAAGGTAATTTGGGGCAGCAACTGTTTTCCTCTATTGCTTTCCACTGTATCATTATTTCTGAGACAAGATGTCTCACTGAACCTGAAGCTCATTAATTTGGCCAGTAAGCCCCAGCATATTCTTGTCTCAAACTGTCCAATGCTGGGGTTTCGGCATGCTGCTATACTTGGCTTTTTTATGTGGGTGCTGAGATTCTGAACTCGGGTCCTCATGCTTGCATAGCAAGTACTTAAGTGACTGAGTCACCTGTCTAGTTCCCTTGAAACATGCTTCTGCTACTTTGTACTATGTATTTATGTGAATGGTATTACTATTGATGAAGAGCTATTAGATCAAAATACTGACTAGCTCTGAAAAATGTTGAAGGTGCTCTGTGCCCTATAGTATCAAATATGTGGCTAAGATTTTTGAGACAGAATCTCATATAGCCTAGGCTGGCCTTGAATTCACTATTTAGCCAAGGGTATTCTTGAACTTCTAATCCTCCTGCCTCTACCTCCAAAGTTCTAGAATTATAGGCACACAGCACCTTGATCTGTTTTATATGGCGGTATAGATAGAACCCAGGAATTCATGAATGCTAAGTAGGCACCCTACCAACTGATCTACATCTCCAGGTCTCAACCAAGATTTCTTTATGTAAAAATAAATGAACATAACCTATCTTTTAGTGTACAAATATACCTTTATCTTCAGTGGTAAAATTATGTGCATACCAATAAATTTATTTTAAAAGGAAAAAAAAGAAACATTTTTTTCAATCAAAGTCCATAGAAGCATGGCATTGTTTAATAGTTTTGAACACCCCCTAATATCTGGCCTATAAAGTCAGGTGGGTATGTAAGTTGGCTTCTGCATCTGTCCTGTTGTGACCTATCACCATTCTTGTAGCCCATGGAGTCTCCCAACAGTGGAAGGAACAAAAAAGAAGTCTATTGGGGCCATTAGGAGGATGGTTTTAACCTCATGGATCTTTGAAAAGGTCTCAGGGATTCCCTCTGCACACACAGGGGACTTAATTCTTAACCAAGGCCCAAGAGGGTGTTGGATCGTGATGGATTTCCCTCGAGATCGGGGAAGAAGAGGGAAAACAGACCGCAATTGTTCCTCTTCCTGGATCCGTCTCTTGGGAGTTGTACAGTCTTGAGTGTCCTGAAACCCAATGCCAGATTTGGTTCCTTCCCATTAGAGTTCTAATCCTGGTTCATGTGTGTAACAAAGGCACCTCAGGACTGTCTTCTTTAAGACCCACTATGCATTGCAGTGCTAAGTGGCTAGCAGGTACTCTCTCTCTTGATGAAGGGAAACATTTGAGAGACAGTGTCTGCCCTCTCCAAGCTCTCAGTCCATATGGCTTCCATATGTGATTTCTCTGGTCCTAGAGATTCTCAGTAGAAGATGTGAATCCTCCCTGTTTTAAAAAAATCAGCCTTGGAAGCGAGGCCCCTGTGAGAGCCAGAATCCAGTTCTCATTCACTTGCAGGGCAGTAATTAGAGGGTGCCTGCCTTCCAGGACCTGAGGCTGAAGTGTTAATTTTCAGATGTGCTTCTGGGTTTCGGGGGACTTGGGCAAATGAGTCCTGCTTGGGGCTGTTCATGGTGGGAGGGGTATTCTCCATTTCCTAACCAGTTGGCCATGACTCACCGCTCACTTCTGCCCACTATGGCTTCCCTGCTACACAGGACTACTCACTGGTTTCTAGTTTAGCATTCCAACACACGTACTTTTAATTTTTCTCATGTTGTGGTGACATGGCCTGTTCTTTGAGGTGCCCCTTCTTATAGTTCTTGTTTCCTAGAGGCTTAAGCATTCTGGAGTTTTCTCTTGCCACTGCTTGGCTTTTGATGCTGGGCAGTGCTGGCACCCTAGCTATGGAGTTTTGGTTCTTGACACATTTATTTTTCTTAGAAAAATATTGAAGGTTTAGAGAATCAGATACAACCTGCCTGTCCTTGACCTCTGTCATTATTGCCTAGATTTCCAGAGCCATCTTTAGGCTTGACCTCTGTCATTATTGTGTAGATTTCCAGAGCCATCTTTCGGCTAGCTGTGGGAGACATAAAGGGATCAGAACTGATTCTGGATCTGACTTTGCTGCTTGCTAGCCAGGCGACCTCCTGCAAGTCACTTAACCTTTCTTTGGGGAAATGGGATTAAGAACGCAAGTAAAGATTAAGTCAGAATCTACATAGCTACAGATTTGGCTTGAGCATTCTTGTTAGTCCACCTGCTGTTTGCTGGCCAAATATTCAAAGTAAAGTTATATACCTGGATGAGCAGGCACACACAATCCCCTCATCTGCCCAAGTGAAGTGGTTTTTTTGTTTTGTTTTTATGACCAGGCATATAACTTGATTAGGCAAATAGTACAATTGTCTTATGGGAAGAAAACTGTTAGTGCAAGAATGGTTACTTATCTATTTAGGCTACAGCATCTTACTCAGTGCAAGCCAAGTGCAAGGTGCTTTGAGGGAGGTAGCCAGCCACCTTGGAGGTCTCAAGAGAATGAGCTATGGATTGATGGTGGGAGACACATCACGGCAGAAAACTCTGGTTTTCCAACCAGGGCTCATAGTGGGAAATACTTTGCCTCAATCTGAGGCTGTATTACAGGGGGAGACACCTGGAGGATGGGGTTCTGAACTCTGCTTTAAAAGGTAAGAGGATTTGAACCAGGACAGGGGGAATTCTAGGCAGCTTAGAGGATTTGACCTAGCTTTTCTATAGTATCTGCCATTCTACCCAGATGTACTCGCCATCATGAGCCCTGTTGACATTGATGTCTTGATTTTGCACTGGTTTCTGTTTCCTGTCTCTACAGTTTGGGCATGCATTTCCATAGGGTACCAGAAGTCTGGGAAAGCAGGAATGAAGGAAGCTGCTTCTGACTTGGCTGGAGAAAGTGATACTGTCTAAATACCATGCTTCTCTGTCTCTGTCTCTCTCTGTCTCTGTGATTTGATACATTTGGGAAAATGATCTCATATTGTTTAGAAAACCCATAGAAAAGCTATTCTATACATATTAAAGGCACTGTCCATTTTAACTTGAAGAACTAAGGTCAAGGTTAGGGTAAGAGCATGATCTTTCTCTCTCTCCCTCTGTCTCAATTTTAGGGGGCTTTTAAAAGCAAGACTTCAGTTGTCTACCCATTATCTTCATGTCTCGGTGGCCAGAAACCTTCCCAGAGGCTGGCGTAGCGAAGCAATGTAAGCAGTGACATTGTGGTTAACCGCCCCCTTCCCAGAACTCCCACATGAAAACACTCACACACACTTCACCTAAGTCCTCCTGCCTGCCGCTTGCGTTCCTAATGGCGAATGTGCTGCTGGATGACATTTCACGTTACAGTTGTAATGTCCACATCGCAGTTCAATCTTTGCATCATCACCTCCCAGGCTTCTCGAATGTTTGAGCTGGGAGGAAATCCTCATTATAAACGTCTCACTTACAAATAGGGAACTGAAAATGAGGTCGTAAGTCCAGCTTCTCCTTAGCAAGTCACAGTACTTTTCTGAGTCTCAGTTGGTTTTCCCCAGCTACTCCTTCCCGAGGTTTCATGCTGATTGTTTCTCGTGAATTCTGTTGTTTATTATGCAGAACAACTGTGTGAGAAGACCATCACCTCTTCCTTACAGTTGGTGAGATTGAGTAGCGTTGAGACATTAGTAGATAATTGTGTGAAGGTGTGGGCTCGGACGCAGCGGCTCCCAATCAGGGTTCCTAAGCAGCTGTGTTGTTCCCATTTCCTCCCCAACTCCTTTCGGCCTGTATCTCTTTTCTCCCATCCTTCCAGGTTCCTGGCATTCTCCTTGCAAAGGTAGGGTTCTGATGGTGGCTGCTGAGGTGACTCTAGGCTCTGGAGTCCATAGAAGGTGCAGAAAAGCCTTAGTCTGTGGTTCAGGATCCTTATCTGGGGACCTACAGAGCTGAGGCCACATGGCTCGCTCAGGAGCTGACGGGTGGTTAACTCAGACAATCGGGGCCGTGGAAGGCCCAGTGCAGTCTGCCTTTGAATTGGCTTGTGAGAGAGAAAACAGATGGAAGGTTCGATGAAACCCACCCTCAACCCAAGCATCTGGGCTCCTAGCAGAGGTCAGTTACTGAAGAGTGGATGCCTACTGGATAGGACATCTACTGTAGACATGATGCCATGCCGAGGACTCCGATCACCTGTTTCTGTCATATGCAGTGTGTCCCTTTTGGATTTTTTTCTGTCTGTTTTGTTCTTCCCTCCTTATAGCAGTGGCTTGAAGAATGCTACTCAGGTCTAAAGATGCTGTGATCACTGAGAGTTTTATGTAGTAAAAGGACACCTGCACACCAACGAGTGTGTCTGCTTGGGATTATCAGAGTTGCTGGAGGCTTCACCCTTCATAGGAGCTGTGTGTTGCTGGAGTTTCTTGTCCCACCAGATCATGCCACTTTAGCCCCAAATGAACACACAGAGATGCTATATTAATTATAAAATTGTTGGTCAATGGCTAGGGCTTCTTACTGACTAGCTCAGTTGTAATTATTAACCCATTTCTATTAATGTAAGTATTTCCACATGGTCTTATCTTACCGGAGAAGGGTCTGGACCTGTTATTCCTTCCTCCTGGTGTCTCTTCCACTTCTCTCTCTGCCTATCTTTCCCAGAATTCTCCTCGTCCCCTAGTCCTGCCTATCTTCCTGCCTCAATTGGCAAAACAGTGTTTTATTCATCAATCTATAAGAGAAGCATATGTACAGAATGACATCCCCTATCAAAGATGAGTTTTCAAGACTCCACAGAAAATATTCCAAAGTACTACAGTCATCTCCTTGACTGGCCTGCATGCTGACTCCAAACAGGCCAGGGTGAGGCTAGGGAGTTGCTGTCGTTACCCTCTACAAGAGGAACGATGTTCTCTGTACCTCATTGAAGGGCTCAGTTTGGCAATGACATGAAATCCATTCACAGTCCAAGCATAGATCAATGTGGAGAAGATCTGTGGGTCATGAAAGAATATTTCCTCTTTTTTTTTTTTTTAGGAAACTATTAAGTCATACTCTTCTTGGCCAGCAATACTGACAAGAATGGGTACTGTTGAGTCCATTGGTTTATACTGAAGTAGGGCAGACAAGGACACATGGAAAGCATGCATGAGAAGAACAGTCATGGTGCTGAGGTTGCCAGACCAGAGGTGCTGCTTGGGACTCAAGAGTATAAATGGTTTGACTGTCAAGGGCTCTACCACTTTGTCTTTCTAGATGAGAGATTCCTGACAAAAAAGTTTCTATAGAAACAGAAATAACAACCAAAACATTGTGTGTCTGTCCAACAAATTACAGACGAGATAGATAGATAGATAGACAGAGTTGTTATTTGTCATGTATGTGGATGAGTGTGTGTGATGCTGTATGGCTGTGTGTGTGTGTGTGTGTGTGTGTTCGTAGACTTGTGTGTTCCACCAGACTAGCCCACTTAGGCATGTGTAGAGGTCAGAAGTTAATACAAGGACGTCTTCATTATTCGAGACAAGATCTTGCTGTTTCAGCTAGACTTCCCAGTGAGTGGGATCCCAGGATACACCTGTTTCTCCTTTCTCAGTGCTGGGGTTAGAGACACATGCTACCAGGCTGGCTTTCACACAAGTGCTGAGGATTTGAACTCAGATCCTTATGCTTGTGCAGCAAGCATCTTACCATTGAAGCCACCTCTCCAACTCTGTAACTTGAGATAACCTTTCACATTCATGAAACATAATGTGTGCAAACTAAATTTCATGCGTATGAAAGATCATGTGGTGGTGACTAACGAAACATTTTTGAGGGGAAAGAAATAGGGATGTGCAAAGACTAGAAAGATGCCACCAGCCACCAAAGTGTGGATCAGGTGTCTCCAGACTCTTGACGTCTTATTCAAGAATGAAATAAAAGGCCACACAGATTGCAAAGTAGTGAGGAAACTTTATTTTAAGCAGAGCAGTAGTAACTAGTAAAAAGGAAGACACTGTCAAGAATGACAGATGTCCACACGTGTGAACTACTTAAGGGCCCCTTGTCTAAAGGGAAGTGTGTGGTTTTGGTGATTCTCCATTTTAATCAATATAGACACATCAGGTTATATAATCATTTCTCTACTGTGCGTAATGCATAGTTATACGATGGCAAGTGGGGGAATCTCTCTATTTACTTAAAAACACAGTTTTTGCTTATTGAACACGCACTCCAAACCAGTTCAGGCTGGATTGCCCTTTCTGATATTTTTACCTGAACATAAAGAACATATGACTGAATAAAATTCACTTGCCCGTATTATTGTTATTAAGGGAAACAGAATTGTATTCCAGTATTTGGAGCGGAGTGTACATATGCCCTATGCAATGCAGGTGAAATCCAATGTTGCCAACAGGTTGCTAGGTAGGTACATTGTTTGGAGAGGTTGTGGCCATAGCTCAAGCCAGTGGAGTCCAAATTGCTAAATTAATCCCTCTGCTTGCCTGCTTTAGAATCTTGCGTGCTTTTGAATGAGGAAGAACGCTCAAAAAACTGCTGTAGGTTTTCTGTGTGGAGAAACTGTGAAGACAGGTAAGACAGTGAGTTCGTTTGGGCTAATTGATAGTTAGCACTTGTCTTTGTTTTTTTTGTAGTTGTTTTTGTTTTGTTTTTTGTTTTTTGATGAGAGGAGGATGCTGTGTCGAGAGACCGAGGTGTGGCTTAACAAAGGATGCAGGACGGTTTTGCCCAAATAGACACATGGTGTCCCCCCATCCTCTAAGGATGGCAATCACGTGTTAAAGACATTGCCTACCTTTTGCAGTTCACTTCTTGGACCAAGAGAACTCAACTCAAAAAGAAAGCAGTCAGCTCCCTGTGGTTTTCCCATCAGAGCTTCGGGACCAGCACTTCTGTGATCTCTGCAGTCTTGAATCACAAATGTGGGGCCTGAGAGAGATGCCCGAAGGCACAGAGTAAAATGAGTAATGAACATTTGTCTGGAAAGATTTTGTTTACCGTAGCCCTTCTGGAAACAAAGTTAGATTTCTTTAGTTTTCACACTTGTTTTAAGGATGACGGAAAGATTTAGACATTAAGTGTTTTGGTTATGAATGTAGCATTCCTATGCAGGAGACCTAAGCCTAACAATCAAGGGTCTTTGAACTCCTGGACTTTGTTTTCTTTTTACTATTACTGGGGGCTGCCATATGGGATGCAAATAAAGCTTTGGTTTATGACCTCCTACTTAACATGGATGCTCTCCCCAGCGGTCTGTCATCACAGTCTTTGAAATTCCACCCTTAAGAAGCCTTTCCTGGAATGCAAACCTTGTTATGGCCAGGCTCAATTACAGATGTCTCAGAGAAGAGTCACACATCTTACCGGTTATTTGAAGAGCCGAGCACGGGAACCTGATGCTAGCTTTACCTGAGACAAACTGTTATTGGTGGAGAACAGAGAATAGAGGGGTCTCAGCGCATCCCAGTGCAGGCAAAGGGTATATCATATGGGGATACTGGGGACAGGTGTATCTCAAGGCCTTGGGATATCAGTGGGCCCCAAATGCCCTTGTAAGCTCATCTTGCCAAGCTGATGAGAAATACTTGGATGTGCTGAGGCTCATCCTGTGTTGGTAGCAACTTCCAAGCCACTCAATGCTTTGGAATTCCTGTCTCACTTAACAGGGCACTGCTGCATGTCTGAATATAATGCTACTGGCTGTTCCATGTGTTACTTAGGCTTATGGCATTTATTGGTACCTACCTCTTTGAGAAAAGGTTTCAAGTCAGTCTGTGTGGTGTATATTTTACAAACAGCTTGACTGGGACAATGGTAGTACTCGTAGGGACATCAATATCTTAGATGTCACTTTTTCCTTCTATTCCTTTAGTGTCTTGCCTTGGATTCTGGAGTCAGAGCTAACAACAAATCTGTTATTTCCTCTTTATCTGTTTCCTTGTCTCCTTTATTGTTGTTGTTCGGGACCACAGAAGAGCAACAACTACATGCTCAACACGGTATGTTATGTGTGATGTAGGTGGAGAGGGTGAGAAGCTAATTCATTATCATCCATGCACATCCTGAATTGGGCATGATTTCCTTCTTAGAGTCAGAAAGTAACGATTTGGGGCTTTGAAGTCTCTTCAGTTTTACCACATAGCATGAAACCCATACGTCAGACGAAATCACTTCCCAAGTCAAATATCACTGCTAATAGTCTCTTTGATTGAGATGGTTGGGTTAAGAAAACTCTATTCACTACATATATTTCTTCCCAGGACACACCTAGTTTTAACTTTGTCCAGTCTTGCACGAGATAGGAAAACCATGATCCAGGACAGGAAAAATGCGTGGATTTATTTACTGAAACAGGCAGTGGCTAGTGGTTGGCTCCGGCATCATTCTCACTGCTCCCTATGGCTTATCTTAGCGACCCATCTTCCCTCAGTGCCTTTCTGAGGGTGCGCTGGACTGGCTGGCGAGGAGTCCCATCAAGACAGAAATTCTTACTTACTTACTTACCATTGCCCTGCTGGCTGGCCTGGTGAGTGCTCAACTAATATGAGCTGTGTGTTCCTTCACTCACTCACTCAGCAAGTGTGTACTGACAGCCTGGTCTCTTCTGGGGACTCATAAAAGAACAACACTATGCAAGATCGTTATAAAAAACTTACTTTTTAGAAAAGGAAGAGGATAACTACTAAGCAGTAATAATCAATAAGGCAATAGTCCATAGGGTTGTGCGAGATTACATGATAAAGGTTATGGATGAAGAAAAACTACTGAGCATGGTGAAGTGTGTTGGAACTCTCTGGGGTGGTATGGGGTGGACGGGCACTTTAATCTAGGCTGGTTAGCACCGGCCTCACTGAGAGGGTCAGGTATGAGCAAAGAATTGATGGAGGTAATGGGGTCAGTCAAGCAGCTGGCCTGAGATGTTCTTCGAGTCATCAGCTACATGTGTCAGAGAAGGCTTTCTGGGCAGCTAAGTAGCTGGGCAGAATTGCTCAGGACTCAAAAGAATGCTGCCTGGATATTTTGGGTTTCTTCTCTGCTGAGTCCCAAGGCTGCCAGGACCCTCCCGACTTTGCCTTTTCAGAGCAGTGGTTTCCCCAGAGTCCACCACAGGGTGTTGTTTGAGATACAGACGTTTCGGGAGAGCCTCGGTCTCTTGGGCGTACTTCCTGGAAGGCATGGGCAATCCCATGGTTTCTGAGTATAGTGGTTAGGTGGCACAACGTGGGACAGACGATTGAGGCTGAGTGACTATGAAGGGGTTAAAAATGTATTTTCAGGTTGTTAAACATTCAGCTCTGAAATTCCACGTCTCTAGTTAAAGCTCATTTAAGTAGCTATTGAAGTCTAGAAAGCTAGCGTGTTCCTCCATGTCAAGTGACTTTGAGTGGTGGCAGTCAGCCAGTGACAGAAGAGAAGAGATGGCTTTGTGGTTCAGGTTGGGCTGGAGACAAGCCTAAGGGGAGACAGGTGCTCAGGGCTGGGTGCCCTGCCTGCCTTTTTGGAACAGCAAGCCTTTATGCCCCAACTAGCATGTGTCAAGATCACCCAGAAGCCTATGTATTAGATTCTCCAGGAACAGCCTACCTCCCTGTGTAGGCTCGGAGAGCTCACACTCCAGTGGCTGTGAGTATGCTCTGCTCAGTAGAGCACGCCACTGACCCCTCCTTCCCGGGACTGCTAGATGAAGACAACCCAGGCTTTGTCCCATCTGAGAGCAGCCAATGCTGGAAGACGACTTTACCAGGGTCAAAAAGTTGACCTTATTTGTATCGTCAGAGGCAATTCTGCAAGGCCAGCCTTGCCATGGGGCTTCTCTTTGGTTTGGCTGAGACCATTGCAATGATGTCTCTCTCTGCCTTTCCCTGCTTCCATCATTCTGTCTACAGGGACTGATCCTGGGGGCAGCACCCCAGAAAGCCTTTGTGTAATGTCCATCACAGTCACCAGTCCAGGTCAGAATCTGCTAGAAAGTGCCTGTGACATGGACATGTTCCTTGGAGCCTAGGCCGTGATACACTTGCAACACTGCGTATGGTTCACCATCTCCGTGGCATGGTTTTGTTTCCCTGCCCTTCCCCCCCCCCCCTGCTTTGTATCTTAGAGCTGAACGTTGTTCTCCTTGATGTGGACTCGCCGTTGGCTCTGTTGAGTCCTCGGGGAGTGTCAGTTCCTCATGAACAAGTATCAGGTGCTGTGGCTGCTTCAAAGGGGCATCCTCATTCCTGCCACACATTCAAGCCCCTAGAGAACCCAGAAAGCTAAACCACTTTCTTCTCATTGTCTTGTACGTTGCCCTCCATGGAGAGCTGGAAAGAATGAGCCAGTGGGAACATTAAACGATGGATAGATTCGAACCGGTTGCCTTGGGTGCGGTTGGCATTCACTGGGATAGGGTCAATTGGGTGGTGGAAGGGGTGCTACATGGGGGAGGGGAGACCCTCGCTTGGATCTTGGAGAATGAAAACCCACTGGGACAGAACAGGGGTGGAGGCTCCAGCAAGAGAAGATGGCTACTCGGGAGGCAAACTGCCAGCTCCCAGGGGGTGGATGGTGTTCATCCGTTTACCACTTCTGTGTGCTGTCAGGAATCTAACCTGGCCATGAGAGTCTCCCAGCATACTGTGGGGGCCCGGACAGTTCCCCCAAGAGCGTGGTTCTGCCAGCCCTGCCAACTCAAGACCAAACGTTCCTCCTACACAGCTGTCTTCCACATGAAATCCTGCCTGGGAGGCGGGTGAGCCAGCAAGTGAGCGAGAATGAATTACCCGTGGCCCACGGCTTGGCTGGCATTCAGGCTGCCTGCTTGCTTGAGCTTTTCCTTCGTCTCTTGGATAAATCAGGAACTCGGAACACTCCTCTCGGAGTCATTCCGCCCTCCCCACCTGGCCTGCGCCTGGCAGAATGAATGCCTGCGAGGCCCGGAACGCAGCGTGCTCACACATACATCACCTATCCGGGTTCCATGTGGGCAGCCTGGGGAGACAGGGTGATAAGCAGTGTCCCCGCTCACGTGACAGGAGTCCCAGCATGGGGGTAGATTTGTCTAGGAATCTGGGTTTCCTGGGCCAGCAGAGGACTCTCGGCTCGCCTGTCTTTCCTGGGCCTCTCTCCCTTTGCCTCTGGCACGGAGATGTTCCCTGGGATCTGTCACCACTGGGCCTTCTCCCACCCTGCAGCTGTCATGTGTATAATGTCAGGGCTCAGAGTGTGCACTTTGACTCCGTGCCCCCTCCACAGATCTCCCGCAACCCGCCTGAGTTTCTAACAATCTTTTCGCCTCTCAGATCAGCCTCCCTCACTCTGGGCACCAATAGTCTTGCTATCTGCTAAGCTGTGTGTGCTTCCAAATGCTCTGTGGACATCACCCCCCAAGCACCCCAAATTCAACAAGTCTAAGAGGGAACTATTTTAGCCCATCGCTAACTGGGGCTTCCCCACCTCTCTTCAGCTGCACCTCTGTTCATCTTGCTTCGACTGTCTGGACCTCTGTGGCATTCCTTGGCCCCTTGCTCTCTGTCTCTTCCTGAAACCTATTTGTTGTTTCCCAGAAGCCTTAGTGCCCCCTGGTCATAGCCTTTCTGCAGCTTCCTGGAACCTTTTTCTTGACTTTTAAGAACTTCCTATTAACTGGCCTTGGGACCACCAATCATTCCTGCCTCCAGCTTCATTCTACAACTGTTTCAAGGGTTATAGTCTGAATTATGTCAGTTAAAACCATTAATTAATTCAATTTTAATTATGTGATTTTCTTGCTCAAATCTACAAGGTTGTCTCGGAATTTGCTCGGCTTTTATGATTCAGTGTCTCTAAACTCGTAGACAAAAGTACACCTTGGCCAAAATTGCTTATTTGCTGTTTCCCGAGGCTTTCTTGGCCTCCCCTACAGTTTCCTTTCCTGCTGCACTCTGTGCAGTCCAAACCTTCTTTGGAGGCATGTCTTCTAGGACCCTTTCCTTTGTTTTGATTGCCTTTTTGAGGGAGAAAATACTTTAATCCTTTAAATGACGGTTCTGCCTTGTTTTGTGTTGAAATCATACTGAATCTTGGGAAGTGTCAGTGTGAGGTTTTATAAAAACTTAAACTGATGCTAATGAAGCTTAGATGTCTGGTTATTACATGGGGCCTATGTGATCCATGCACTTGCCTTTGGCTTAAGAGATGTTGTAATAGATGTGACACCTCTTGCCCTTCTTGGTGTATGCAAGGCCCTGGGTATCATCCCTGGCATGGGAGAAGAATGCAGGTAGGGAGGCTTTGAGTGATGGTGCATGCCTCTTTCCCCTAGGAGGAGGAGGAGGAGGAGGGAGCCCACATGTTCTAGGCTAGTCTGGACAAGAAAGCAAGACCCTGTCTCAAAAATAACAGCAGCAGCAGCAGCAGCAGCAACAACAACAGCATCAGTCCATGATAGCTCCTAAAGTTTCAGGGCTGGGGATCATGTTTCTGGACACTCAAAGAGGGGGACATTCAGTGTCAATGCCTGCACATTACTTACATGGCTTCAATGCAGTTGCTATTTTATGACCCTCACAGCACCCCTGAGCAATAGGTTGCTTGTGTATTGTTTCTATGAAGGAAATTAAGGGACTTAATTGGTCGTCTAATGGTCCGAGGGCAGATGGAGGCGGAGCTGGACCAACATGTTCACATGACATTATGTTGCTGTCTTTGTCTAGACTATTGAGTTCTGGTTGGTTGTACCCTCGGGTGAGAATGTCCCAGGTGGAAACAGAAATGACCATCACAGCCCCGCCCTTCCACTTAACAATTGACACCTTAGGGACACAGAATGACAGAGAAGCTTGTGTTTTCTGACAGCTAGCAGAATTCAGTGGGAGGAACCATCTCTTCCTTCACTGTGGTACCCAGGGTGCCTGGTGCTCTGGAGCGGAGCGTGGCTCTCAGTTAACGGAGGAGAGGGCTACACACTCAGAAAAGCTGAGCAGAGCATCCAAGGTCTTACAGCAGACTGAAACTCATGCTGTTTGAATTACTCTACGTTGTTTGGGACAGCCGGTGTCTTTTCGTATCTAAGTAATGAACCTGTTTTTATAGTGTAGCATCAGCTCTTGTACCATTGCGAAGGCCCCAAAGGACATTGCTATGTTCTTATTTTCCTCTCCCTGATCCCCTTTAATGGCTTGAAAACTCAATACCCAGTCCCTTTAAGTTCCATTTCTTTTCATCTTCTTTAAAAACTTGATATGGATCTCAAAAGCATCACGTGAAGTAAGAAGCCACCATTAAAGGCTGTCAGATCTCATGTTCGTGAAGAGACAGAACTCTAATGTCAAAGACATACGTGCCTGCTGGATGGGGTGGGCCCGAGGCCAAAGGAACATGGAGGAATCTTTTCAGGTAACATTTTCCTTTCTCTCTTGAGTTATTATAGATTATTCATACTTATCAAAACCTTTGGAACTATACTCTCAAATGGGTCCATTTTATGGTATGTAAATTATACCTAATGCTAACTACCCAAATGCTCAGTTCCTGTTGAGGTCTGAATGACAGTGGGATTGACAACTTGATGGACATTGAAACTGTAGGCTGTGATGAGCTAAAGCTTGGTGAAGCCACTGTGATCTAATATTGAAAAAAAAAAACACAGAGTATTAAAGCCATTCAAGAATAGATTACCTTTCCCTGGAAAGTGATTAAACTGTCCTGGATATGAACCCAGGACCCTTCCGCTGCCATCCTACCTAAACCATGTCACCGGGCCACAACCCTCTCTTCCCTTGGGCTAGGTCGGAGGCGGAAGCTGTCCGGGAAATGTAGCAGCTGGAATTGAGGCAGAGGGAGAGGTGCCGAACGAGATGGCAGAGCTCAGAGAAATAAGCGATTCTGGAGGAAGCTGTATAGCCGCCACTCCCATAATGCTGTGCCGCCAGTGCTTCCCCAGCCAGCGGAGGGGATGGGAGGGGCCTGGAAGAGTCTGGCATATATGGAATGTAATATTCCTCATTGTCATTCTGTCCCCTGCTTATTCCTCCACCAGGCCATCTTGTACGGATTAGGACACACTTAGGTGCTCCCTTCCTTCCACTCATTGTCCCTCCCCAGGGAAGTCTCTTTGGGGACTCTCCTTCCAATCTTTCTCGTGCAAGCCTTAGCATTCCTCGCTCTCCCCAACTCCCAGGCCCTTCCAGTTCATTCCAGTCTAGGAACTGCGCTTTAGCTTGTAGCACTCCTGCACCCAGAAATGCGATGGTTTCTTCCTGCCCAACTCTGCGGCTACCGGGTGTTGTCTCTGACACAACTGCTTGACAATGAAGCGGAACATGGGCAGAACAAGAAGATGCTGTGTAACGCACAAATTACACGGCACTTTCTGAAGTGCTAGTCTGCTCAACGCCAGGCTTGACTGCCAGAGAACTAACGGATGCTTTCGGTTGTCCGCACGGCGTTTTCTGATTTGAGACACCTGATTAAAAATATATGAATTGCAAACACTTGTATTCTTTCTGAAATGTGCTGAGAGAGACAGAGAGAGAGAGAGAATTGTTTACCAATTATTCCAAGGAAACAATTATTCCAAGGAAGGCTGTGTGGTGTAATTAAGGTGTTGGGAAGCCAGTCTCGGGGATGCCAGATACTGTGGCCTCTGTGTGTGCCTGTGGGGGGGTCACTGATGAAGGGGAGCAGGTTCCTGCTGAGTTGCAGGTGAGACCCCAAGGGAGACATGGAAGGCTTTTAGCCATGCAGCAAGGAGGGAGGCCTTCTTTGCGTTGGGAACTCAGAGGGAGCAGCCTATTCTGGCAGAGGGCCAATGCCTTAGCTCCATGCAGCTTCTGAGAATCATTTCCTCGCTCTTGTTTATAGTTGGCGCCCAGTGTACACAGACCTGACGTTTCTCGGGTTGAAAGTTGCACACAGCGCCCCATCAGTTGTAGGAAGCAAGACAGGGTCTCGAGCCACTTGAGGACAAGTGTCAGGCTCTTTCTTCAACTCAGTGCTGAAAGTACCAGGCCTGCCTATGACAGACGGGCAAAGGAGGAGGGCTCCGAGCACGCTAGCAAGGCCCTGCTTGAGCTCCGCCTGCTATCCGGCTTTCACTGGGTCCCCAGCCAGAACCCACCGATCAGCTGGGAGACCTTGCCAGCGCAGCCCGGCAGACGCAGATGGCATCTGCACATTTTGGGTTTGTGCCCAGCCTTGGCCAGTGCTGCTGACAGGCTGTGGGCTGTGGTCTCACAAGGGCAGGTTCAGGAGGTGGCTCAATGCTAATGTAGCATGTGCTGGATTCCTGGGCAGGCGGCCATGACCGAGAAGCTGCACAGGGCTTTGCTGCCCCAGCAGCCTTCCTCCCTGTGGGCCTGTACAAGGTCTCTGTTTTAAAGAGTGCTGAGTTCCAAGCTCCCTGAAAATGCTCAATATCTGCTCAACACCCCCCCCCCCCGAACACGTGAGCTCCAAGGGATGTTGGGAAGATGTGCTGGGGTGAGATTGTGCAGGGCTTTCTTCTGTCCTGATGCCAGGTGCCTCCTTCTCAAGGAGTTTTGGATGTGAAAGCAAAAAGCCCAAGAAGCAAAAGCAAGAATGTACAAATGGGACCACATCAAACCAAAAAGCTTCTGTCCCCACAGCAAGAGAAACAATCAACCAAATGAAAGGGCAACTCGGGATGTGAGAAAATATTTGCAGACTGTGTGCACAATAAGAAACTAACATAAAAAGATGCAAGGAATCCATACAGCTCACTGGCAGTAAAACAAACAAAGAAACGAACAAACATAACTCATCCTAAAAAGGATAAATCCATGGACCAGAGAGACAGCTCAGCTGTTAAGAACACTGGCTGCACTTCCAGAGGACCAAGGTTTGATTCCTAGCACCCACATGGTTTCGAATTCCAGTTCCAGGGATTCAGTGCCCTCTTCTGGCCTTCACAGGCACTGCACACATATAGTACATAAACATAATATCCACGTGCATGAAATAAAAATAAATAAATCCTTAAAAAAAAAAGCAAGCCAGGCGTTGGTGGCACACACCTTTAATCCCAGCACTCAGGAGGCAGAAGCAGGCGGATCTCTATGAGTTCAAGGCCAGCCTGGTCTATTGAGTGAGTTCCAGGGCAGGCTCCAAAACTACAAAGAAAAATCCTGACTCAAAATAAATAAGTAAAATAAAATGGCAAACCTTAGAGCTACATGACCCCTGACCCCCGAAAGGAGACTGTGTTCACCAAATCTTTCTGATGGGAGTTCACTGACTTTCTTTTGAAAACCCACACCAGAGTCTTCTCTTCATTCAGAGGGTCCAAGCTCTAGCTGTAGCTACCGCATAGAGCTTTTTATACCAGAGAAACAAAATAAGGTAAGTCTGTCACATACGTATGTACGTACATACATACTTACATACATACAAGGACAAAGGACCTGAAAAGACATTTCTCCAAAGAAGATAAAGTAAATGGTTAACAGGTATCTGAAGTGAAGAGTTTTAGTTTCAGTAACCATCGAGAAAAAGCAAATTAAAATGGTGGCGAGTTACCCCATCATTCCTGTCAGGGTGCTGTTGGCAAAAAGATAGCGTGCTGGTTGAGATGCAGAAAAAGGAAGCCTTTCAGTAGTGTTGGCAGAGCCTTCAAGAGTTTAAAATAGATTTCCCATATGATCCGGTAATCTCACCCCTGGGCATGCAGCCTCATGAGATGGAAATCACTACTTCCAAGAGGCATCTGCACTGCCGCGTGGACACACCCCGCATGTCGATGGATAAAGAAAATGTGGTACGTATAGACCATGGAGTATTATTCAGCTTTAGTAAGGAAATCCTGCCATTCGTGACAATAAGGGCAGACCCAGAGGTCATTATGTTAAGTAAAATAAGCCATTCACTGGGAAATAAATTCTGCTTAATCTCCCTTGTGTAGGATAGGAAAATGACAAAATTGTAGACACCGAGTAGAACGGTAGCTCTCGGGGCTCAGGGAGTTGTGAATGAGAGATGTTGGACAAAGGATGCGTGCGGACCCGTGATTATAAGATAAATAAATTCTGGAGACATAGTGAGTAGCATGGCAATTCTAACTGAAAACGGTGTCTGGTGCCTTTGAACTTGATGACAATTCTAATGGCAGGAAGGCAGCAAGGTCTGGTGGCCCTGTTAGAAGTTTATTGGAGGTGCTTTTCGTTCGTTTATTTTGTTTTTGTTGAGACAGGGTTTCACTATGTAGCCCCGGCTGTCCTGGAACTCACTCTGTAGACCAGGCGGGCTCAGGACTCCCAGAGATCCTCCTGCCTCTGCCTCCTGAGTGCCGGGGTCATATGTGTGTGCCACCACACCCTGCTAGGTGTATTTTCAGACATCTTAAGTCTATATCCACCATGAATATCACGCTTCACCTCTCAGATAGGACGCAGTGAGACTTAAGGGACAACTTGGTGGAAGTCCTCCTCTTGGCTGTCTGTCCCATTCTTGGAACACACAGAGATCTGAGAGCCTTCAAGGTCAGGCTGGTGCGTGGTTGAAGTTGGTAAGGAGAAGGGAACCGGGAGCTGCTGATGTAGGAAGTTAGCTCATCCCTTCCCACCGAGCCAACTCGGCTTTATCTTTCAGCTCCTGCCTGGCCTGGCCACATCTGTATACGTTTATTTATTCCTCACATCCGTACTGTGGGCGTGGCTACCTCCTCCCCCTCCATCTGCTTCTTTCAAAACGTTGCCCCCAAGCGGGAGGCTTTTTAGGCTGTGTTTAGTCCGGATAGTTTGAGCCAACACATCCATAGAGCCTGAATCCGGCTCTGGTCCCAACACATCCATAGAGCCTGAATCCGGCTCTGGTCCCAACACATCCATAGAGCCTGAATCCGGCTCTGGTCCCAACACATCCATAGAGCCTGAATCCGGCTCTGGTCCCCGCAGATGTTTTGTCAGCTTGTGAGCTGCAGACGTGGAAAACTGGCTTGGCTAGAACGACCTCATCCCCGGGCCTGGTAAAGGGCGCAGAGACCTGAATGTACAGGAAGAAGCCTGACCCCGGGAGCTGAGCGGATTGTGGATTTCGCTGTTATTGTTTTTAGATAGTGAGTGCAATAAAAATGACATCTGGAAAAGAAGCAGATGGCCCTGGGTTCAAATCCTGAGCCATACCGAAGAGCTCTTCTCCAAGCAACCTTGGGCAACTGCTTGATGTTTGTGAGATTAGATCGTTGGTCTGTGAAAGGCAATAATGACATCACTGTGCGGGTTATGAGAAGTACCAGACACTGTATTCACCAAGTTCAAGCTCAGGACCAGGACCCTAGGCAGCTGTCAGTCAGTGGTAGTGATTGTTACTGGGATTCTCTGTGAAGATTGCTCTCCAAAACCTTTCCTAGAGAAGGCAACGTTTTCCTTCCGCTTCGGCCACCATCAGGGTCATGTGGAGGGTTTTAAAACTGACCGGCCTGCTTTTTTAATCCTGGCCTTTCTCCTTTCAGGCCATGCCCTAGAATATGTTTTTCCGAGGTCCAGGACATTGCCCTCTGGCTTAATTCAGAGGCTCGAACGTATTGATCCGAGTTTCGGGCAGCAGCATGGGGTGCCGTGGAGGGGCGAGGGAAGCGAGGCTTTCTGGTCAGGAGGTGAGGCTTGCATGGCAAGAGGCTCGTTTTCTGGGAACTCGGGCTCAGTGGCATCCTACCATAGTTCCTGCCACTGTCATCATGGAAGGCACTCCTGCATGCTGTCCTCCCTCCCGGAGCAATGCCGGCGGCAGGGTACAAGGCCCTGGGGAGGAGGCCCACAAGATGGACGGTCTGTCCCTCTGCTCTGACTGTCCTGTGGAGTCACGCTCTCCGTGTGCTCAGTGTTCTGTTTCCCGTCTCATTCCGGCTCTAACCGGTCTTTCTTCTCTTGCACCCTGCTGGCATCACTACCAGCCTTATAGAGATCTGAGCCCTGCACCTGGCTGTGATTTAGGATGCTTTCTGGTTGAGGTGGGAAGATGAGAAGGATCCACATCTCTGTGCTTGTGATGTGAGCCCATCTCTGCCCTTAAATGGTGCTGGACATGATATTGAGGATGTCCTCATTTTGCTCCATAATGCCAGCCTGTTTTTGTCTCTGGCAGCTGGTGGAATGCCTAGGAGGCAGAGAGCCGGGCATGGCCCACCTTCTGTGTGTGTCTCCATGGACACGGATAACGCGTGCGCGCCCAGCAGCAAGCTTCCCCAGCACCTGAGCAGTGGTGAGATGGAGAAACCCCAATGCCATCAGGGCCCCGGGTGAGAATCAGACTTCTGGCTTCTGTGTTTTAGTTTGTTCAGCGGCAGCCCCCTTATTTTCCACCGTAGTTTCGCTCTTTTTAGTGCCAGGCCACTGTACTAAGTCAAATGGATGGCCTAAGTGGTCATTACGGATGGAATCACAAACTTTAGGACTTTTACTCTGCACGGGGGTTTTCTGTCATTCATAAATGAGTATGGCAGCTATGTGCCCACTAGTGATAGCTAAAAGAAACCA